GTCCCAAGATCAGAATGAGTGACTGCAAATACCAATCATTTTCTTTCTCAACCTTCTTGTTTGTCTATGAAATGTAAGATACCGGTGACTCTGAATCAAGAACAAAAGTTGTATTTTTTGTTCGACAATTTGACAATTTCTTTTAATGTACCCCAGTCCAAATGCAATATGCAGGTTTTTGTACCAATACCAAAACGACTGAAAACTTTATTAGGTACTTTTTGAAGCAGATTTTTACTCCTCACAGTGCAATGTTTAGTAAAACACGTACATTTATGAAATAACTTAATGCCTAAACAATAAAAATAAAAAGCACTCAGATTTAAAAATTGTGTTCAATTGAATCATCTGTAAAAATATTTAAATGATAGTGTTATGGTAAACTAAATAGCTACTGGCTGTAGTTTAACGTTCAGAAAGCACCCCCTTACTGCTAAAAACATCTTGAATTTGCAAATCTGAGGAAACATTTGACTTCAACCTGATTCACTTGGTTTTAAAGATTCTATAATCAATGGTGAATATTGGACTTAGATTAATCAGAGGAAACAAACATGACTCCTATTTAAAGTTATTTGATAATGTAGGTAAAAAAAAAAGAGATAATTAAGTGATGATATTTAAAAAACTTGTTTCCACTGCTGTCAAAAAAGTTATTGTTGGTTTAACCAATCCTGAGACACAAAACTGACCCTGATTGTGATAATAATAAATCTTCACCTTGCTAATTTAAGTCATTTCTTAATGAATCTTGTCTTTTTTTTTGTCTAAACAGGACTGAAAAGCCGGCGGCGTCCTCCAAAGAAGAACTGCATCCAGTCATGAGATCAGAAACAAGAGTCGTGTCTGTTAGGGTCATAAAGAGCAGCTGGAGGATCTGTTGGTCAAACATTATGCAACAGCTGAGTCACCTTACAGTAACCAGGTGATGTTACCTTAGGAGAACCGAGTCTGCGCTGTGACGCTTCAGTGTGGGTGACAGTCCTCTGCTGTGCATCATGGGAATCCCCATTAAAGAGATGTTTAACTAATCATGAGGAAAAACTGCGGCAAACCTTCAACTTTGTAGCCAAAGTGCTGATGGAGGAGATGTCATAGCCATCATTTTGTTTCAGTTTGTCGGTATTAAATTATTCTACAAGTGTTTTTATATTCGTCACTTTCATGCTTGAACACAACAGAGTCGCCACGGCGTTGCCCAGGTTGCGCGGTTGGATTACATGACGCCCCTGGTTGCTATGGAGGCAGGAAAAGTGATCAGTTGTGCTGTTGTCCCTGAGTTTCATTTTACAGACGACCCTTGGAAACAGAAGCAGTTTTCAGCAGTGTGTTGTACAAGCTGTGAATAATGTAGAGTGGACACAGTCTTGCTCTGTTAAGAGCATTTCTCGTCTTTAATCCAAGTGACATTCGTAAGAGATTAAAAATGTGAATCCTTGAGAACCACTTCAGATGCAAATGATCACTCTTTTGTAGCAGAATTTTTATAAATAAAGTTATTTTAATTTGATAATAACTTAAAACTGGTTTGTGTGATTAAATGTGAAGTAAAATTTGGTGCAAATAAATTAAACACATTTTCCTGAAGCCAAACGTCTTAATAAAAGGTTCAGTAGATGTGGGATAGACTACATTTATATAATGGTCTTCTTATCTTCAGGACAGCTCAAAGTGCTATCACAAACCAGCTGGGATCAAACTACCAACCTTCTGGAGCTTAATGCCCCTCACCTCACCCTCCCCTTTCAAACATGACAGAGAACCTGTGTCAGCCTTCAGTTGTCGTAAAAACTCAAAAGGTGTTTAGTTTGTCCAGTCTAGACTACTGTAAAAAACATGGCGGCCTCCATAGAGAGGACCTACTCCTGATGTAAATATAAAGTATTTAAATATAAAAGGTGCCATTCTAGGGTGAAGAAAACAAGAATTTGTACACTTTAGGGGAAACACACTAGTGAAAACATCACTAGGATTATTTTATATTCGATTTCTGCAAAAATCTTACACACTGAACCTTTAAGGAGGACATTTAAGTCATTCCTTGTTTACTGTTAGCTCTATAGCTTTGTGCAAAGCCAAAGAAACGTGTTCCCTCTACAAGCACATTTTATACGTCAAAATAAAGCTTAGAGAATATAATAAGTGTTCAATTCTTCTTCTGACAAGACAGGGGTACTTCAGGGGCCAATCAGATTTAAGTAGGGCCTGCGTCCCCCTGGCAAGTCCCTCCACGTCCACCCCTGCCCTCCACCTCCATGAGGAAAAGAACTCCCTCACCTAACTAAATATAACATCTGTCATAGAGGAATGAAAATAATTAGAGTTTAGATGGTTGAGGTCTGAGTCCTCAGTTTAGTCCACACTGACGGCTGTTGAGCTGATTTGAGTTTTCTTTGAGTTTTTAGATGTAAATGAATCTGAGATTTTACATGCAGTCTGTATTTATATCAGACTTTTCTGGTCTTGAAGACCACTAAAAGCACTTCACAGTACAGTTTAACAAATGTAGATGATGTGAAGTTTTCAGATGCTTCAGGTGTGTGGCTCTTACCTCCGTTCTCTGAATGAATGCTGACTCTCAGGCTCCTCCCTCAGCTCTTCTCCTCTGGGGCAGCAGTAGCTCAGTCCATAGAGATTTGGCTTGGGAACCTGAGGGTGGCCGGTTTAAGTCCAGCATGGACCAAAAAGAATGGAAGGTGGACTGGAGAGATGCCAGTCCACCTCCTGGGCTCTGCTGAGGTGCCCTTGAACAAGGTACCGAACCCCCCAATTGCTCGCAGGGCGCCTCGCCGGGGCTGCCCACCACTCTGTCATCTCTTTCCATATTTTCATGTCTATGAGCCCTTTGTGTGTGGGGGGTATTGTGTTTCAGGGTTAAAAAACGGCATCTATAAAAATGAGTGTAAAAAGAATCAATAAATGATCTCTTCTTCTTAATTCCTGCAGAGTTAATCCACTTTGAACATTGTTGGGATGGATCCAAAAATCTTGTAAAGGCCACTGTTTCCCCTGAGAACTCAAGGTTCAGAAACAGTGTTATAGTCGTACTCTGATCCATTGTTCAACACACTTTATCACAGAGATCTGCAGATAGTTCCTTGGACAGCTACATTCACGTGCGTGCATGCGTGTCTTATTGGTGTCGTGTCCAAACAGTTCAGTGAGCCACAGGGGAACTTAACATGTGTCATGGTTAAGGAAAGAGAAAACACCTCATCACACTCTGCAGTATCACTTTCATAAATGAGAGATTTTTAATTAAACTTACAACAAACTTAAATGTTAGAATATAAGGAATATAAAGGTCTTAATGCTTTCTAAGCTCACTGCAAACAAAATGTATATATATATATGTACATAGACATACATATACATACATATATACATATATATACATATATAGATAAAGATATATGGATATGTGACCTTTTGAAAAAAAATTCTTATTTGAAGTAAAAAGACACTGCATCAGTTGCCTCCATCAAACTTAAACCTACGTTTTATACCTACAAAATGTAATAATAATATTACTAATACCAGAATTACAGAATACAGGCCACTGATCCATGCGGAGCATCACTGCAAAATGTCCTTGAGATTTGAGAGTAAATATTTGAATGAATAATTCCTTTGCTCCAAGGACTTGAGCAGTCGATAACTCCAATGATGATAACTCCATGAATTATTCATCAACATTGTTTAAAAAGTGACAAAATAAAAAATCATTGATCCACTCTACAAAACTGAAATGAACAAACCAGCAAACAAATGGAGGGGTGGAGACATAAGCTCCTCGGTGGAGATAAAAAAAAGAACAAGTAGGGTCAGCAGTTGCTTTCATTGAGTAAATCTTCTTGCAAAGCTTCTGTACAAGTTGTGTATTAAAGTGTAATGAATTTTCTGGATGTCAGAAGAAATTTTTTTGAATTTTAATCATAAATAAATAATAAGGACTGTGTTAAATGACCTCTACAGGAGAAATGTACTTCACCAAGGTGGGTCACTTCTCTCACACCTTCTCATGTTTAAAGAACACTGTGCCAAAACACTGTCTCCTTTTTCTTTTTTGCAAGTGTGTCGCTGCTTCCAGGAAACCACAGCTCTGTATCAAATCATCGCACACACACTCAGTCAGGAAGTGCACAGGAAATATCTTTAAGCGTCACAATGCCACTTTCATCTGATAATCCTAAAACTGAAAATAATGAGATAACACACTACGTCATGTAACACTAGGTCACGTAACACTATGTCACGTAAAAATCTGATTTAATAATCTGAAACCTTCAGTGTTTTATGTTCAAAATAAATATTTGAACATGAGCTCCCTGATGAAAGAGGAAGTAACATGTGGTGATAGCGCCATCTGTTGGAGAAACAAACACTCAAACACTCTAAGATGTAAACCACTTTATTATTTACAAAAGATAATTGACTGCCTGTTAATTTAAATTCATTGAACTGTACAATACATTGAAATTATGTTAAAAGAATGTATCTACATAAAATGTTTAGCTATTCATTTGTTCAATTAAGAAAGTGACAAGATAATTGTTTCTGTTTTGATTTATGTGCAGTGACATTTACAAGAACAAGGAAAAAAAGTGAATTTACATTTTTTCACAAAGTGAAGTCAGAAAAGTTGAATGTTTTAACCTTCCCCTGCGTTTTTTTAAATCATCCACAACAGGTATAACAAAGTGCTTCACTCTCATCTCCTAAACTTGAAACTTGACGTGACTTCTGCAGGTTAACATGAATTGTACATGAAAG